AAAAAAACATTCCATACATAGGCCTAGTCTCCGCTCCAATTCGAAACTGATTCGTGATAGAGGTAAAGGCTAGTCCCAGACGAAAGCGGCAGGGTATAGCAGGGCTTGCGCGGGCGCTATTTTGTAGCTGTAATGATGGAACGTTCGCGACCGCTGCCTTCGCAACCGCTTCGCAAATTGAAAGTACCCGCCTTTGTCAGGAACTAGCCTAATAGTAAATGCTTACAATCTATGCCAGTAGAAAAATTTATTACTACTTTCCCTTTCAAACGTAGTAAAATAAGTGAACTTTTTTGAAAACCATCATCTAGTTGCTATCAATTTTTGAAAAACACCTACCGCTCGCATCATTTCCTTAAACTTCTCCAATTCGTGTCTCTTGGCCAACAGCGCTGCCTCGAGCTCACTCGACCGTACGGCATGAAGGCGGCATGAAGTGCAACACTTCGTCTGGATCTCCTTCTGTGCGGTGGGTGGAGAGTGGAGCGATTCATTCAGTGGGGACGAGCCAACTTCTTCGGTGGTGCTCGGCGATGTAGCCGTAAACGCCGTGGAGGTTGTTTCCTGGGGGCTGGAAATAGGTGCAATGAGTGGTTGTCCCGAGAATTTGGATGATTGCCAGCTCTGCGGATCGCTTATCAATCAGGGTAACTTTTTGTGAGGTACCAACGAGATTGTTCGATGGTAAGCAGCTGTACTTATGCTTGGTGCTATGCAAGTAATGCTACTGTGGGGTAATGGACTGATCTGTCAGCTAACCTTGATGAACAAGACGAGTTCGTTGCAGTTGAGGTGAGCACATTGATGTGGGTGTCTTCCGATTCGGTCTTGATTGGATTCACCGGCGCCAGAACTGGCATTTTTGTCTGGAAAAAGGGATTTTTCAAGATTAAAAAAAACTTTTTTTTCAAATTTACCTCTTCCCCAATCATCGGCACATTATTTCCTTGGATATGGCACATGTACATATGCACAGCAAAAGCTGGCTGGTTCGGAAATGCTTTGCTACATAGTGCACAGAATAACGAAGGCAAAATTGAAGGAGTGGGCGGCGGCGGCGGTGCAGCAGTCGGCTGCACTGGAAGCTGGCTGGTCTGCTGCCGAGCTAGCAGAAGCGCCAAAGCTCTCTGCTGCTGCTGAGCTATGAGTGATTGAGCCATCTGGAAGCGTGTGGAGATTTAAAGGGGAACATGAGAGTGAGTAAAGAGGTATTTATTACCTTAGCTACGTTTTCTTGATTGAAATTGAGCAGCGGTTGGGAGATAAGCGGGAAGACAGGTGATGGCTGCTCGATTTTCATCGGTGGAGTGACTACACCAGAGCTGAAAGGAAATAAAGCCTTGTATGGATACTTAGATTTAGGGTACTAGTGTATTTGGTCTAAGTTTTTGTGACTGTAATCCTACGGTACTT